AAAAGCTGGATTTATATTTCAGTTTTTATTTTTTCGTAAAATGGTTTGAAAAGCATTTTTAAATTCTTTCAAATTTTCTCTTGTTCATGTATATTGTTCATTCACAACCAAATTTTCCTTTCATATCCTTTCATCCGTATTTTATTGCGTCATTTTGAAGTCCAGTGTTATCAATTTCAAATCTATATAATACAATATAATAAAAATATAAAAATATAAACAATATTATACATTATTGCGTCAGTGCAGGGATGCCAAAATAAAACAAGAAGTTAAAAGAAAGGCATTATTTAGATTTTTAGATTATTATTACAAAACAAGTTTTGTTTTTTATGGAAGTAAAACAATAAGCACCATGTATAATAATGTAAAGTATCATCATTATCTTTAAAACATTACCGAAACAGGCTACTTTACAAAATATCACACTAACGATAACTATATTCAAATAGTCCCATGATATAATAAAATTGATTTTATTTCTTACAAAAATATTTTAAATGTATACGGGTAAACCAAAGTCCAAATCAAAATAAAAAAGTGTAAAAAAGCAAATCGCAAAGCACCTGTATTAAAACACTTTAAATTTAACATATAATAATACTTTTTCTTTGTGTAAACGTTTTGCAGGAACAATTTTATTTCCAACCAAGCTTTGTGTTTCACACTCATGTCTTTTAGGTGCCTTTCTCCTTTTAATTTTCTCTGTCCATCAGTTAAAGAAACAAATTTTCTAGTCTTTTTAATTTTCAACTCAAAAATTTACCTTGTCGTGGCATGGGCTTGACTGCTTGACTGTTCACGACTGTGTATTATTGGATCTTCTTCAGCTTCATTCAGATTCACTGTGATTAGTGTCATATTCTAAGAGATTTTCTTAAATATCTATCAGTTTCCCCTAAAGACTTACGCTCCTCCTTACGGCCTCTCCTTATCACACGCATTTTGTATATTTGTATTGTAATGTCACTTTTTCAGTTGTTAGAGAAACTGTTTTTGCAGAACTCTTGATACTCTCGATTCGACGACTAATTTACGCTTTCTGTTAAGCAGTGGACAGACTCTGTAAGGCTAAAATAAGCTTCGATTGCGTTGTTTCTTTTTTAATTTGTGAACGGCACTTATTATACCAAGTTCACTTTACGAATTCTCAAAATATTTTAGAGAATCCTCTGCAATTTGAGTCATATGCTACGTTAGTAATTTTAAATTGCTTCCCAGAATTATCGTCACCTTGTTCAATTTGTTCAGATTTAAATTATTTGCTCTTTACGATAACAACTCAAAACTCCAGTGTGTTTCACAAAAATGCATTAAAGTTTTAAGGGCTGCCTCCACAGTCGCGCTAGAAATTGAAACATAAGGATCTCGTCTTTTATATGCAAAAGAGATTGCAATATCACAACATTGTTTAAGTGAAGTGAAGTAATATTGATTGCAAAAGTTGGCGAGACTGAAACATCCTTTTCAGCATTATATTTAGCCACATATTTTGCAGCTTCAACAAAAAATCTTGGTTGCAATGTGAAAAACAACCTAATTTCCGAGGAATCTAATATCATCATTTCGAGACGTATTCTTGACAGTTCTGTTATCTAATGCAACGTAACGTGAGTAAAATGCCTTTCCATAGACCTCTAAAAACACACAGGGATAAGCATTTTATTTAGGTTACCTCGCGTAAGATGACAGAACTGTTATGCAACAAGTGCGGTCAACGGCATTTGACTCACGAGTTTCTTTGACGCGAGCGGAGCGAGTGTTTAATAAACGAGTGACTTAAAAAGTTTACCGAACGTTTTGCATACTATATTTTTTCCCGTGCGGTAAAGAAGTAGTCATTAGAGGATAACGTGGTGTGGTGTTATTTGGTGTTGATGTCCAGGTGTATATTAAAAAGTAATTCAAAGTGAGGAATCACTTTATAGCAAAACACAATCCACATCTTTCTGCGACTGCGGATACTTCTTCGAACAGTGTTCGAAGTGTTTTCGGAGCGCGAGCATTGAAGATGCCAAGTGAGATTTTGGCGAAACGTCTGCAGGATTCCAGTCGGAGTTCAACAAGCGAACGGATGATATCCCGGAATATAGTGTCATCATATATATATATATATATATATATATATATATATATATATATATATATATGATGACACTATATTCCGGGATATCATCCACATATATATATATATATATATATATATATATATATATATATATATATATATATATATATATATATATATATATATATATATATATATATATATATATATATATATATATATATATGTGTGTGTGTGTGTGTGTGTGTGTGTGTGTGTGTGTGTGTGTGTGTGTGTGTGTGTGTGTGTGTGTGTGTGTGTGTGTGTGTGTGTGTGTGTGTCTGTGTGTCTGTGTGTCTGTGTGTCTGTGTGTCTGTGTGTCTGTGTGTCTGTGTGTCTGTGTGTCTGTGTGTCTGTGTGTGTGTGTGTGTGTGTGTGTGTGTGTGTGTGTGTGTGTGTGTGTGTGTGTCTGTGTGTCTGTGTGTCTGTGTGTCTGTGTGTCTGTGTGTCTGTGTGTCTGTGTGTCTGTGTGTCTGTGTGTCTGTGTGTCTGTGTGTCTGTGTGTCTGTGTGTCTGTGTGTCTGTGTCTGTGTGTGTCTGTGTGTCTGTGTGTCTGTGTGTCTGTGTGTCTGTGTGTCTGTGTGTCTGTGTGTCTGTGTGTCTGTGTGTCTGTGTGTCTGTGTGTCTGTGTGTCTGTGTGTCTGTGTGTCTGTGTGTCTGTGTGTCTGTGTGTCTGTGTGTCTGTGTGTCTGTGTGTCTGTGTGTCTGTGTGTCTGTGTGTCTGTGTGTCTGTGTGTGTGTGTGTGTGTGTGTGTGTGTGTGTGTGTGTGTGTGTGTGTGTGTGTGTGTGTGTATTATATTTCACTTTTCAAAAAATAACTTAAAAAAAATGTATTTATTAACTTTAAATCAAAATTAAAATCAAAGTGAAAACGGACATAATAACCTTGTGAACAGAGAATGTCATTAGACTATTACAATGAAAGTGATGGCATAGTTAGAATCCGAAATTTTGTTTTTAGACGCCCTTTTATGTTCATTAATACGTTTCTTAAATATTCTACCTATTTGTTTTCAGTTTTAAAAGTAATCTTAAGACTTAATTTAGGAAGATGTTTCGAAATTTTCTTGCTAGGTTTTTCTATGTATTTTATTGTTTTATAAATTTTGGGTTCCGTGTTTAATATGGGATAGAAAGAGTTCAGAGTTATTTGAAACTGCATAAAAGGAAGCCGTTGTGTGTGTGTGTGTGAGAGAGGGTAATTTGAGTTATAATGTATTATAATGTGTCCTTGTGGGAGGGTTTATGGTAAATTAAAAAATCTAATTTGTTCTGTTATGTATGGAGTTAATATGATAACCGTATAAAATTTACCATAGAGACGGAACTAGATAAAGATAATTCTTTCAGTTTTCTGGACTTAACTATAAGTAAATTACAGAATAAATTAGATTTTTTTATTTATTTATTCACACACAAAATTTTGAAAAAGAATTAAATATTATAAAGCAAATAGCTTTTAACAATGGTTACAACCCCTTTTTGATTGATAAGATTATAACTAAAAAGCAGTTTCAAATAGATCCGAACACTGTATATCCCATTTTAAAAACGGTTCCCAAAATTTATAGAACAATAAAATACACATTTTGTATTTGATAAAGGCACGTTGTTGCAGAAGCAGCTGTCATTAATCATTAAATAACTATGAAAATCTGAACATTTTTTGTTCTAATTTAATTGAATATCGACATTGCTTTTGATTATGGAAATAGGAGAGGCCAATAAATAAAGGCGTCTTGAGAGGAAATTGAAATAGATATGGAGGAATATCGCTTAGAAAATGACAGTGATCATAATGACACTAACGAACCTGAAGAAGTTTTAATAATACACAAGTCAAATTTTACTCTTGAAAATGAAGAAAAATCGAAAACCTGTTCCTTGAACATCTAAAAGACATGTGTGAGAAACATTCGAATTTTTATATACAGATTTATTTATTAACAAGGACTGGTTGAAAATAAAAGTATTCGTTCAAACACAGGAAAAGTAATATTTTACGTTGAATTTAAAGTGTTTCAATACCGACATTGCTTTGCAATTGCGATTTTCATTAACCTTTTTATTTTGATTTGGAATTTGGTTTGCTTGTCTTTAAATCCATCTTGGACCGGGCGATATTTTATGTCTTACGCCACGAATTAGTATCAGATGCAACAAACACACTGAACTGAAATGAAATTTAAGTTTCGTATAGGAACAACTCTATTCTGAGGCATATGGATGAAAACCCGCTTTTATCTTTTATCTTTAAATACTCATCTAGAAATAGACTATGATTTTGCCAGATCTAAGAAGCAATAACTTGCGAAAATTAAAAATTGTATAGAGTATATATGAATTGGATATACTATTGCGTCCTGGCCCAACTAAAAATCCATAAATATCTTTAGAATCCCTTTAGATGGAACTAGTATATTTAAAAACTAGATCAAAAGAAGTAATCTCTATCTGTTTGATTTTATTGCGTCTGATAATCGGAAACAACGATGCCATGGACGCAATAAACAATGATATAAAAGTACGTGACAATGATAGCAGTATAAATATATGTATATGCATGGACATATTTTTTTTGTAATTATTTTTTTTACTAATATTATTATATTATAATTATTATTAACGCCATATAATTTACTGTCAGTGCAAAACTGGAACAATAATCCTTCTACTGTTGGCCGCCTGGTTACATCAACTTTATTCTTTGTCCTCGTCAAGTTTCCGAGCAATGTTAACGTCACGATAATAATAAACAAAGGTACGTCTGCGAAAACGCAACTGGATGCGCCCTCAAAACGTGCAGAAGTTGCCGCCAAGAGGGAAGGAAGGGATGGCGGGGAACCGACGCTAAGCATGGCATTGAAATTCGTTTTCACGCGAGTTTTCCACGAAGCGCGTCGCGGGAAACATCCCCCCCGCAGTTCGTAGTCGAATTTCCCGCCGAAAATTTTTCGCAACGCTTCAATTTGGACCGTGGTGAGGTCGCCGTAGCCTTTGCGTACAGCCGCGGTTTTAACGGTACGTACGTAAATATTTTTTTGTTGGACATTAGGTTACAGCTAATTTTGGTATAAGCATCGTCAAAATTGGCAAATGGAAATCAAGTTTCACTAAACTTTAGATCGTGATTGTTTGTTTTTAAACTAATCAAGTTCAAAACTGACGTTTCTTGAAGGTATTTTTTCGGATGGAAATTCCAGTTTTGGTTGACATAAAAATGGTAGAATTTTAACAGATGTTCGACATCGGTTATAGGCTTTTGCAGAAAAGCGTAAAAAATTAAAATGTGAAATTCTTCCCTTGTTTTTGATCCCTATTCTAGATAGGTTTCGTTTTAATTTTGAACACCTGCCATCTAACTTGATATATTTATGAGGGTATAAAGGGAAATGAATGACACTTTAATGACGGATCAATTAAAACATATTTTTCTACTCCCGTCTGTAAAATAGCTAATATCCCATCGATCTAGCGTGCGGGAAGCGTCACTTTGCCACGTCAACTTCATTTCCCATGATTTCGAGCCACTTCGGACATTACCGGGATTTTATCGCACGGATTTGGGAGCAATCGGATGTTTTCGGAGATATTTCCAACGCTTTGAATTTTGACGTTTGTCAATTGTGACGGTCATGTCAGTGAATGTATTCGTGTTGTTTTGCGAAAATGTACCCAAAAACTAACGGTCGTAGAAAAAGTATAGTATGCAACACGTTCGGTAAACTTTTTAACTCACTCGTTTATTAAAAACTCGCTCCGCTGCGCTTCGCTCTTGACAAATAAACTTGTGAGTCAAATGCCTTTTACCGCACTTGTTGCATAATATATTATTACGGTTGCTCAAATTAAAATAATAAATTATAATAAATAAAATTATTTTAAAGTATACAGGGACGCTGAGAAGGCGCGACGAATAAAACAAACATTTTTTAAATGAAACTCCCTATTTTAAAATTAATTGATTTTATTAATAATAATAATGTTTGCGACATTTTTATTCTTCTTTTCACTTCTTCATTTTTTTCTGAAAGGTGTTACAAAAACGTACAACTTTTATTCAGCTATAGCTATTTTCAAAACTGCGATTTATTTTAACTTTTCCAATATTTACCCATTTTTCTGTCTAAGGCTATTGCTATAATAATGGTTGAACATGACAAAAACTATTAGCCAACAGGGATCTGTTAAGATAAAAAAATGAACAGGAGAAATAACTTTGTTGGAGCAGTAGATAAAACAACAGACAGTTATTATGTTGGTGAAAATCACCAGCAAATTTTTAATTCGCAGAAAAATGAAATAATATTAAATAACTATTACTACAAATTAACTTATATCATTTTTAATTATTATTATGACATAATGAGAGTTGGATACACATGTTTTAATCTTTTTCTATTTTCTTGGACGTTCCTTAGCATAAACAGTGTTATCCTCCTGCGCGCGTCCCGAATCTTATTTTCCATATGTGGTGTTATAGGGCGATTCATATAAACACGATCTTTAACATATCCCCGCAAGAAAAATGTAGTGCTATTAAGTCACATGATCGAGGGGGCCTTCTGTTCCTGTGGGTAATGATTATTTATAAATTCTCGAATTTTTCGATGGCAATGCTGAAATCGCATTTTAAGTTAAGGAAATCATTCTACAACAAAGTGGTTCGCGAAAACAATATAGTCCAATAAGGTGTTTTATTCCACACCACACATTAAGTGATTTTGCTTTTGCACTTTCCGTAGCTAGAGTTGTCAACCTTTCAATAATAATGCATGTTATGACGATTAACTGCATCATTACTGCGAAAAACTTTATTTTATACAAAAATTTCATTCATAACGGTACAGACGTTTACCTTTGTTCAATGGAAGCCATGTGTTTTCTAGGACGTATCACATAAGTCATCTACTTGACGGCTGCTGGAAGTAAAATTTCCAATTCTTTTGCCTCATTGGTAGTATTCTGGTTTACCATTTTTCGTGTTCATATTCAATACTACCACTAACACCAAATCGTTCCATTAAACACTGAAGAGATTGTCTAGTATATACAATGCCATAACAATGTCATATTGTCATGGCAACTAATGATCCAAATGTATTCCTTTTTTCTGAACACCCTGTAGCATTTAATTCAAATTCCGCATATATCTGTTATGTCATCTTCAAGTAACGCTAATAGCAAATATGCGTGTCATTTACCTTTAAAAATATTGGCGCTATTTTATTTTTGCAAGAGTGAAAACATTTTTTTAGAAAAATTAAAGTATTGGAAAACATTAAAACATATTCACTACAACATAAAATTTAAAAATATAAAAGAATGTGTGTTATATTCGTGACACAGTTTTGAGCCAGCCTCTATACTTAAAATTAATTTAAAATTGTGCATCTTAACAATCTTTACAACTTTTTCATTTACCATCTTCTCATAACTTTTGAAACCAATGAGATAATGAAATTTACTCTATCGTTGACTCGGCCTGTACATTTGTTTAGTTTAAGACATCAACATTTACAGTTAAGCTGTTGTGTTCACAGTATTACAAATAACAAATGGCGACATTTACATCAGTGAAAATATGTTCCAATAATTCCGCACTATCGGAAATTAAAAAAGAAATTATTTTAAATGTACCGGGTGACTCACATAAGGTAACCTATATGCTTGTCTCGAAACCTGTAGTTATCAAGCTTTATTCAGCAAGACAGTGTTCATCTTATTATGTTCAATCTGTAATAAATGATCCAGGTCTACGTCAGCATTACAATATAACTCTGGTGCTGGACGAGACGTAATCCGAAGTATGGAGGCAAGGCATTGCAGAAAATGGTGGAAATATAGAAAACCAATTGTAAAATTCCTATCTTTAAAATATTGTACGGGGTATTTTAATTTCATCACTTTCTGCATATTTGCCCTTCCTTGAATAATTCATAATAAAACTATTTGTTTAAGTTTACGATATTGTCATTGTTTTTTCTCTTAGATAAACTTTTTAATATAGATTTTTTTGGAGGAATGCAATACTCAGTGTGCTACATTATTTCTTAAATGGAATGCGTACAAATTGAGAAAAATCAAATAATTCCATATTATATTACATATTTACCAATTTCAACCCTATACAACTCTAGACTCGAAAATCACGAAAATTAATTAAATCTAAGTCTGGTGCGTATATGTTTCATTTGCAAGTCAAATAGTTACCTACTATCATTTTTACCACTAAATCCAAAAACGTCATAAAATAGAGGGTGCAAGTAAATGATCTAAAACTTCTTCTTGATTTACTATTACAAGTTTTCAGAAAATTATATGGTCTCATGCGATTACTCGAATTTTACTGTACCAGAAACTGTCGACCGAAGGACTGAAGTTGGAAAGAGAAGTTCCCTCTTTGACGTCAGAAAAGAAATATCTACCCTAGATAAGATTTGATAGCTAGGAAACCTTTTTGAGCCACTTAAAAAAATATGGATATGGATTTTGCCCGTGAAAAGCATAATCATAAAGCAATTTTACTTTTATCTTGATGAGACGTGGATAATGGCGGCTATATAACACCAAAAAAAAAACAAAAATAGTATCAGTGCTTATCAAGGTTTCAAGAAGGCCTATCAACGGGAATTAAGGAACCTTCAAGAAAAGGAAAGAAATAATAAACACAATCCATGAATTGATCCAAACCAAGGTAAACCACTTGGTAAAAATAAAGAATTTTGCAATGTAATCAATGCAGTCGTTTTGCATAGATACTTGATGACTTCAGTGCGTCTTTCATTGGAATGCATTATTTTGATTACCCTACCTAAATTTTATTTTATTAATTGTGTTTATTTTATGCGTTATACTTATTTAAATGAGTTCTACCAAAACTGTCCATCATAATGGCGATAGGTGGTGTATACTTGTAGTATTCAACATCAAATGTGACAAAATATCACATGGTTTGTTAATGTTTGCTAATACGAATTTTCCAATAGCTTCAACAGTTTCGTATGTTATGAAGAGTGTATTGGTAAATATGTGAAAAACGAGTTTTTACAAATTTATAATTTTCTCAAATTGTGTAATCTGTTACCGTTACTGTTACTGTTCAGTAATATAGGCAACGACAAATTAATTATCTAGAAGAAAAAGAGGTGTTAATTACATGCTAATGTATGAAAAGAGTAATGTTTAAAGTTTAAAAATTTCTTTTCTTCAAAAATATTTGTCAATTTACTAATAAAGCTACGTTCTGTACCATATTTACTTAGTTTTGGTTAGTCACATACTCAAAAATAACAACTTACTCATCCAAATTGTGGTTATACTTGAAGATGACGCCAGACATCATCCCAAAACGTCTTTTGTAACAAAGTTTTCATTTTGCGATCCTTAAATTTAATTTAAAACTTGCAGAAAAACAGGAAAAATGCCACGAAAATTTAGATATCTGTTAGAAGCGCTTTTTGTAATAAAACCTTTATCGGAGACCAATTCTGTACGTGACCTAAATAGGCTTCAAACGGAATTTCCAGCAATATATTCAACTCTGATAACTCTAAACTCTATAACTCCGAATTTTTGGGACAATATATAACAACGGTTGATATCTCGGTTGATAAGTTTATCAAATTTTATTATCTGCAAAATAAATGTTTCTAACAGATCACAAATATTTGGGGCTTTGGTCGGCCAATCAGGATTCTCTGGGAATTTTCGATTCCCATTAATATGTTCAATCCATTATTCACAATATACGGAATAATAATTATAATAACAAAGCTCCTTATTAAATCAAGTTCGGTACACAATATATAAGGAACAATTACATGTACAGATGGAGTTTAATATTCTAGGAATGCTGACTATTCTTACACAACACTTATACGGTATACTAAAAAAAAGGAATATATTATATTATTGTGAGTAAGTTTACAATTGCTAGCGCAGTTTACATGAAAAGAGAGAAAAAGATATTAACAAAAAGAGAATTTAACATTTAAGTAATACCTTAAGAAATAAGTTTG